GCTCCAACTTGCCTCAACACACCTGCCTTTAAGTTTCTAGTATGCCTAGTAAGAGCTTGATTAGCTGGTTCAGGTGTGTTTAATTGGGGTTGGAGCTAAACTCTTCAGGACACCGGTCCTCCAGGACCAAGTTTGGACACCTACACAAACAGTCTACTTACACAGTAGGCTACATTTCTATGTTGCAAACATGAAATAATAGTGAAAGTATTTGGAGAAAAGTATTTAATCCGGATATAGACTCTGATGTTGCGGCAGCCTCAATCAAAACGAGCAATTAACCTTTGGAACTAATGATAATATAGATTGTATATGTTACATTATGCCAGTAGGTGTCAAACAGTGACTGTTAAATGTATTTTGATGTCTGAATCATTCAAGTGATTCGTTCTAAAACTCTGGACTAAACAAGTCTTCAAAACACACACACACATAAAACAAACCATGAGTTCCAACCTACTTTCTTATTTTATCTTTGAAGAGTCATTCTTGAATCTAACGCTATCTTTAACTCTATAAAGCCTATATCTATGTCTCATATCTGATATACACATTTCTAAGACATCTAAATTAAAATTTTACTGGTTTTTATAGGAAATAGTAATTTATTATATTGTTAGTGATATTTCAAGCTAAACACTGAAGTGGACCGTTCACTGGATTATCCATACATAATTTTTTAGAAAAAATAATGTTAAAATGTTGAAGTTGTGAGAGCTTTGATCATGATCATTTAAATTGATTCGTTCTAAAACTCTGGACTAAACAAGTCTTCAATTTTTTTTTTTTTTTCAAATGATTTTTTAGCTACATAATGAATTCATTTCAATTAATAAATATTTTTAAATACACTCATATATAACATTTTAGACATTTATAAATAGACTTATTTATAACATTAAATAAAACATTTTGTCAGAAACTCAAATTACATATTTTGTTTGGTTGTCTCTAATGTTTGTTTTCAGAATCGTGGGAGAATCATAGCATAAAAATACATAGGTTAACATATCAGACATCTAACTAATACCATTAGTACTGTTTATAGCCTATTATGTTTCATGTTACTACTGTATGTATGTTTACGAACTATGTATGAATTATGTAGTCCCCCAGGCCCCCCTTCTTTTGGTTCATTCCGCGATCCATGCTGAGATGGGCTCTCAATGATCATTTAAATTGTGTCTTACTAATATATATTATTGGTAGATATAGAATAACAATTGATATTTGTATGCATTTTATGTAAGTAGTCTGCTAAACTGTCATAAAGATCTCACTGATTTACATTAAAACCTATCAGAAATTAATTATACTTTTTGACCATATAAATATCAGTATCTGCACCAAATTGCATATTTTTGCTCGGCCTCTTAATAAAAAGTTGTTTTTTTCCCTCTCTCTCTCCTTGAGTATGAGCTCCATATTCTCCTATTTCATACTATATGAGCCATAAAAGCCTCAAATGATGCAAACAAGATTTTTCTATTATTGCATATGACAGGATTTCTACAGGGTTAATAAACAATAAATTATGTATAATTTATAAATATATGATGACTAAAATACTATATAATGAATAAAATGATGGCTAAAAGGTGTTCGGCACAACACACAGTAAAATGACAATATTAATTACATAGCAGAAGCCACATGTCATATTATGTTCATTAAATGGTTATTACATGATAATACCTTTTTTGTACAGTATATTATTTTTTTTATATTATTGCTAGGCTGTTAGGGTGGTTGATAATTCAGTCTTTAGCTCGGGCAGTGCCACGACGCCCCCGACCCCATCCGGACCTGCATCCACCGGGTCAGCTTCATGTGGTGCGCCGACAGCATGCTCTACCACTGCATGTCCGACCCGGAGGGAGAGTACTCGGACCCGTGCTCGTGCGACACCAGCGAGGAACGTTTCTGCCTTCGCTGGACGGCCCTGTTGGGTCTGTCGGTGTTGGCACCCTGTCTGTGCTGCTACCCGCCGCTTCACGCGTGCCACCGCTGCGGCGTGGCCTGCGGTTGCTGCGGAGGAAAGCACAAGGCTGTCGGCTGAACCCCCCCGCCCGTCCCGAATGAACCCTAAACTCCCCTCGGAACACTAGCACTGAGGATGGCAGGAGCGGACGAAACCGACGCTGCCCAGTTGGCGCTTTTACTGTCCTTAACTTTATGGTCTCTCCTGGTTCCAGAAAACAATTCATGCATTATCTGGCTTGAAAATTTTAATGGTTGGTTGTTTTATATATATATATATATATATATATAATTAGAGAGATAGAGAGAGAGAGAGAGAGCAGATCTATTGTGAAGTAAAAGAAGTTGAGATCTGCAGATTTGTGGTTAAAGGTGCTACGTTTTATACAACCTAAAGTCCATTACAATAGAAAATAATTTAGAAAAAAAAAACCTTTTCGTTTGTTCAATTAGTTAAATATTGAAATTAAAAAAAGTTTTACAGCTAAAACGGTTGATTTTATATATATATATATAATTAGAGAGATAGAGAGAGAGAGAGAGAGCAGATCTATTGTGAAGGAAAAGAAGTTGAGATCTGCAGATTTGTGGTTAAAGGTGCTACGTTTTATACAACCTAAAGTCCATTACAATAGAAAATAATTTAGAAAAAAAAACCTTTTCGTTTGTTCAATTAGTTAAATATTGAAATTAAAAAAAGTTTTACAGCTAAAACGGTTGATTTAGACAATGTTAAAGCTCAAATAACAAACATTATACTGAAATGAAGTACACTTACGTCTTTTTTCAAAAATAAATTGGAAATATTATGTATGTTAATTGCCCAAGTTGGTCACATCTAATTTTGCATCTTTGCATGATCCTGGTCACAATTCTTATAGTATAATGCCTTTTTTTCAGTTTTTCTTAATTCTGAATAAATTGCCTTTGGGGAACAGCTCACGTTCTTCATATTTATTCAGCTTTTCTGCACCCTTGAAGGGCTCTTCGGGAAGGGGCGCCATTTGTAGGGACGTTCCAAACGAAAGTAAACAACTAAAACCCTTCATGAAGGCACTTCTAGAAGTCCATTAGCGAAGGGAACATGCAATAGTCACTTTAAGAATGTGATTTCCGTTTGTGATCATATGATCTTGGGTTATGAGTTCTTGCAATGCATTTTAAAGCAATGATTCAGGACGATTTCAAAACCTTGCCTTTGGCAACATTTCTGCAAAATAATACTAAGCTGCTTCTTGCACTTTTTGTGACACTTTCTAAGTGAAATGTCCAGTGAGTGCTGCTAAAAGCACATTCAGTTAATCCGAAATGGATAAAAACACTAAAAGGTTCAATAAAAATACCACCAACACAAAACCCTACCTGCTGTACCAGGTGAGCCACCAATCAAGTAGCCAAACATGTGGAGTTTTTTTTGTGATGCAATTTTTTTTGCTAAATGTATTAGTTTATAGATCATACACTATGGTAAAAGTGTTTATGGTCATAACACAGTATTATGCACGGAACTTAAGTCTTTGTTAATCGATAACCTGCACCTGTAATCATAATTTGTGTGAAAATGAATAAAAGTTGTTGGTGCTTTACTGCCACTAGTATTCATTTCAGCTGGAAACTGAAGTGTATTCTATGTATAGGTAAGATTTTGGAGTTTTGCAGAAATGTAAATACAGTGGAGGCATATTTTTCAAATGAGCCTATGTTGCAATTGAACCAAGTGTGAAAACATACAGATAATATAACAGAGCAAATGCTTCAGGATAAATTGGTGATCCAACATGCCAAAGTTTCCCTTGTATTCCTTTCACTATTCTCTCTCTCTCTCTTTCACATACACACAAACTCAAACACACACACACACAGGTTTGTTTTTGTGAATTGTGGGGATATTCCATAGGTGTAATGGGTTTTATACTGTACAAACTGTATGTGCTATTGCCCTACACAAACCCTACACCTAAACCTACCCCTTAAAGGCGGGCGTACACAGTGCGATTCTGAAGGTCGGAACGCCGTGAGCTCTGGCACATGTCACGATTGAGTTTATCCGAGGCAGTCACACACAACACGAATTTACTACGATTTTACAAACTCTGACGTAAGCATTACGTTTCGCGCCATTCATAAAAATATGGATTCTGAGGACGAAATAGTTTCTTTGAAGCAGGCGGCATTTCTGAATTTCTGCTCGTTTTGCCGGAAATACAACAGGCATATTCATTCATAAAGCTGAACGGCAAATTTGGCACATTCGGAATAACAAATAAAAAATAGAACTGTATAATTAAACTAAAATTATTATAGACTATATGGTTTTTGTCATCTTCTGATTGGTCAACTTCAAATGGATCGCCAAATCGTCTCATTCAACCGCACATATGCCACGAATTTAAACCGACAGCATCCGATTATTTTTACATGTTTGAAAATTATCGGGAGGACGGGAGGTGTTACAGGAAACTTTGTGCATTTTTACTTTCTCAAAAAAACTCACTCTGTATGATTTATATTTTGAAAAATGCGGACATGGGGTACTGTCCTCATAAGTCACCTTCTCCTTGTAATACCTATGTCATACCCATGTCATTATACAAATTTGTGTCCTCATATGTCACAAAAACGCGCACACACATTCTCACACACACACACACACACACATGCACACAATGTTAGCAGGTCTCCCCAGCACTGGACCTCTTCCTGTCTGGCAGTGCTCCACTGTGTGTCTTTAGATACTAGTGTAAACAAACCAAAATACACACACAGGTCTCCATATCTGTCGCCTGAATGAACAATATCAAATAACTCAGAACAATATCTAAGACTCATGCAACATCTAAGATACATACACAGTTTGCACACTATTCAATTTCGCAGTACACATTTAACAAGTGAATTTCACCAAAATTTATACTCTGCAGGTTGTGTTGTGGTGCAGTTTGGGATTTGGCAAACTGTAGGATGTGACAGTCATTTAGTGCACAAGTTGAATCATTACTGGTTGCGCATAGACTAGTTCCTTTTTCTCAGAACAGCTGCACATTAGCGTGTCATTTTTAACACAGCACATTTTAGAGAAAAAAACTTGATGCTTGATGTTTTACTCAATGAGTTTACACAATGGTCACAGGACATGCATTTCAGACGCATATTATTAGCAGGTATAAAAAGCCTATAGTGTAGCATATAGACCATTTCAAGGACTTAAACAATAACAAACGTGTTGGAATGCAACTGTGCATGTCTGGTCCTGAAGTATTTCTGGTAGCACCATTTTTAAATCTCAGATCTGTCAAAACAAGCAAAACACAACACAACAGAGGTATTTAAAAAATATATATATAAAATAAACGGTGATTGGAATTGCCTGATCCTTTAAGTCTGACTATGAGGTGCAGACTTACAAAGAACATTAAACGTTTGCCTGAATAGTCTTCCGGATGGCTCAAAGCGGCTTATTATCTGATTGATGCTGCATGCAATGTACACGAGAGCCTACATTTATTTGATCAAAAATACAGAAAAAAACCCAGCAATATTGTGAAATATTACAATTTAAAATAATGTTTTTTCTATTTTAATATACTTTAAAATATAATTTATTTCTGTGATGCAAAGCTGAATTTTCATCAGCCATTACTCCAGTCTTCAGTGTCACATGATCCTTCAGAAATCATTCTATTATGCTGATTTGATACTCAGTTATTGTCAATGTTGGAAACAGTTGTGCTGCTTAATATTTTTTATGACCTGTGATACTTTTTTAGGATTCTTTGAAGAATAAAAGAATAGCATTTAAAATAGAAATCTTTTGTAACAACATACTCTACCATTCAAAAGTTTTTTTTTTTGTTTTTTTTAAAGAAAATTAATACTTTTATTCAGCAAGGATGTTAAAATAATAAAAAGTGATAGTAAAGACTTATACTGTAAAATTTCAGTTTTTGAATAATAATCTGCAAGGATTCATCAATCAATCCGCTTTCATCAATCAAATCAATCAAAGCGCTTTGGGTGTACAACAATACACAATAAAGCGCTATATAAATGCATCATTCATTCATTCATTCATTCATTCAATCCTGTAAAAAAGTATCACAGGTTCCAAAAAAATATTAAGCAGCACAATTGTTTCCAACATTGGCAATAACCGAGTATCAAATCAGCATATTAGTTAACGGTTACACAATACAACATTCAAGTTTACAGTATGCATTTCTATAACTTGTTACTAACTGCATTTGTCAGCTGACAAGATAGCTGAACAACTAATGTGAACATACCTAATTATAGCCCACATAACACTTAGCAATAAAACGGAAATAAAAAACTTTTTTCACCTTTCACCTTTTTTCACTACACACGAACCTAAAAGCTAGGCGCATATGTAAACAATGACGAAATCACAATGCTAGCTTAAATTATGCTGCATCATACTTGAAGAGTTAACGTAAAGAAATACAAATAATCAAATGAAGGAAAAAAAAACGACATTTACTGACATGAATCAAAATGTGTGCTGTATATCATAGAGTTGCAAGTTTCTATCCTGCCTTCGCGCCTGGATTGCAGCCGTGAAGCGAGTTTCAGTTAGTTCCAGGCCAGAGGGAGCACCCAAATACCGAGCAACAAGGATCTAATTTTAATTGACATTTTAAACACCAAAATTAAATAAATCATCACAATCCCACTGTGTATCAAGCGCCTCCCGCCATTGTTTTGAATGCTTTCGACCACTAACTAGAAACATCCAAGGAACAAAGACGTCACTTCCTTAAACCGACGAATAGCCGTTGAAATTGTCTATAGCATGCTGCTAATCAAGCAAGAAAGGTGTGTGTGTGTGTGTGTGTGTGTACCAGTTTGGGTGGTTTATAAGGACACAAATTTGTATAATAACATAGGTATGACACAGGTATTACAATATGAAGATGGTTTATGAGGGCACTACCTGTGTTCCCCGTAATTCAAAAGGCTTAAAAACATACTAAATTATGGGGTTTTTTTGAAAATCTAAAAATGCACAAAATTTTGTGTGAGGGGTAGGT